TTTTGTTATAATTACAGTACACTGTTCCATGACCCAAAGGCAATAAAAGCTACTTAAAGAGTAGAGGTCCAAGTAGCAACAAGAAAATATTCATAAAAGTAAAAAGGAAAACCTAGGTTTATGATAAATACTTAGATTTCTTCCCACTATATCATCTTGGGGTAAGAAATGCATTCCTAAGCAGAACCATAAAAACAAAAGCCATAAAGGAAAGTATGGACACACACACACACAAAGGGCTGAGTTCCAGAACTGAGGAGGAGCTCCCCTGAATCTGCTCCTTAACGTAAAGTGCACAGAGACAGTTCCGCTGGGACCTTCGCGTGGCCTACATGACTAATGAGGCTGAGTATGTTTCAACCTCCGGCCTCATTAGTTATCAGGAAACATCAAGCGAACATAATGAAGTTCTCCCTTCATTAGATTAACCAAATAAAAAATGAGATGAACGGACAAAGATATATCATGTTACATTTGCCCATATATATGTGAATATACATACATATATCTGTTAAAGTCCTAGGGGAAAGCAATTTAGAATAATTCATGTAAGTTTAAAATGCACATACAGTTAGACTTAGTTCCATTTATATAACTCTACCTAATAAAAATAACCAATTGTTTGTACCTAAGGACAGACCTCTTTAAATTTTGTCATTTAGTTTGTAAAGACAAAAAAATTGGAAAAATTTTAAATGTCTATTTAGGAAAGCTACCATTTCTTTTCCTTCACAGCCATTAGAAAGAATAAGGCAGACTTTTGTATAAGAGAAAGACAAATTTTCAAGACCCAAGTTCAGTCCAATGAGCAAGTCATAGAGGGAAGCACTTTTGGAAGGCAGAATAAGGATCCGTGAAAATGTTTCTCTGTAGACAAGGAGATCAGTGGCAAAAATATCAAAGTCAGCTTTTTCAGAACTCAGGAAATGAATCAGAGAATTGCAACAATTTGAGAAGTATCTATTCAAGAAAAAAATGATTTGTAGCTTTTTAACTTGCCTTATCCCTCCACCCCTCCCCAGGTCTGCCATAGTCTTTATTAACCACCAGCCTCGCGACCACCGGAGGGGAAAATAGACTTGGAGCATCCGGACAGTCCCATTCCCCAGTAAACTGCAGCCGTTTGACTTGTCCAGCAGCTCCCCAGAAAAGCCTCATTCAGAGGGCTTGCCTTTATTTGACCTTATTCAAAATTCACTAAGAAAAACCCTATCTATCCATAGGGCATCCATTGACAATAATCGTGGAAATTACTTAACATCACAGCTGCCCAAGGCAGAAATGGAGCAAGCAAGAGGCTCACCAAAAATGTAACAGAAAAATCAGAGGCTAGCCAAATCAAAGACCCACAGGGGTCTTGGAAAAGGTCCAGGATATTCCTGGGGTTCTAGAAGGACACACACACAGGATTGTGTGCACGTCCAGGAGAGGCTTGAGAATGGCATAATCTCTCAACTCTGGATGAACCCCGAGGCTCTGCATGTGCAGAAATAAAGGTTAAAGCAGAATTGGGAATCTCTGCCGGAGCATTGAAGGCATGTCCTGAAGCACACACAGAACCCCCACCAGCGGCTTTGAGACTTGTTGGTTCAAGGCATTTAAGGAAAGGAAGTCTCTGCCTCTTTACTGACCACTAACCAACAGAGACTTCAGTGGCCAAAGAATATAACTTAGCAAAATTTGTTTTAAGGAAGTCACTAAAAAATAAACAAGAAAAATAAATCCAAGGTATAGGGTGGGATCTAATTTCCAATGCTGCCACATTATTTTATTAAATTATCCAGCTTTCAGTGAAAATTCTGAGACATACAAACAAAGAGGAAAGTAGAAAGTATGGCCCACATACATGGAAAAAAGCAGTCAACACAAACTGCCCCTGAGGAGGCAGAGACACTGGACCTTGAAAGACTTTAAATCAGCTGTTATAAATGTCTTCAGAAAGCTAGAGGAGACTGTGTAACAAACCAGCAGAATGTATGAGACCAATGTCTTACCAAATAGAGAATATTAATGAAGAGATAGTAGTTTTTAAGACCCCAAAAGATATTCTGGAGTTGAAACGTAGAATAACTAAAATTTAAAAATTCACTACAGAGGGTCAGTATCAGATTTGAGCTGACAGAAGAAGGAATCAGAACTTTAAGATATGTCGATTGAGATTATCCAATCCAAAATAGAGGAAGATAAAAGAATGAAGAAAAATTAACAGAGCCTTAAAGGCTTGCAGATTACATGAGTCACACCAGTGTATAGATGATGGCAGTCAAGGAGAGCAGGGCCCTGACCAGTGTGGCTCAGTTGGTTGAGCATCATTGCACAAAGCAAAAGGTCACCAGTTTGATTCCTGGTCAGTGTGCATACGAAAGGCAACTGATTGATGTTCCTTTCACACATTGATGTTTCTCTTCCTCTCTTTCTCCCTCCCTTCCCTTTTCTCTAAAAATTAATAAGTAAATAATTCTTAAAAAAAGAAGAAAGGGGCAAAAGGACTCTACCATGAGTTTGTAGAAATGGTAGCTAAAATATTCCACAGTTTTATGAAAAAGATTATATATCTAAGAAGCTCAATTAACTCCAAGCAGGATAAACTCAGAGACAGCCACACACACTTGGACACATCATAGGCAAACTTAAAAGTCAACAGCAAAGAGAGAATCTTGAAAGCAGCAAGTAAAAAACAACTCAGGGTATTCAAGGTAACTTCAATATCAACAGCTGATTTTCATCAAAACTGTGGAGGCCAGGAGGTAGTAGGATGATATTATCAAAGTCATTTTTTTAAAAAGACTGTCAAACAGTAATTCTATATCCAATAAAACTGTCCTTCAAACAAGAAGGAAAATTAAGACAGTAACAGATAAAGACAGAATTCACTACTAGCAAAACTGTCCTCAGCCCTGGGACCTATTCTCCCCTCTGCTTTCCAAACCTCAGGGTTGCTGTCCTTCAAGGGTCAGCAACAGTATCGTCCATTACAGGGTGAGACAGAAGTGCACACAGTTTTTTAGGGAATAACAGCTGTGGAAGGAGAACAGGAGGATATAGAACAGGCAAGGGGACGTTGTCAGACTGCGGTGCAGACGTCGCAAAAGTCTCTGCAAACCAAACAACAAACCTCTGGAGCCAAGATTTCCGACTAGAAAGCCCTTTGTTGGGTAGAAATGGGCAGGCTCTTTGGTGCTGATCACTAGCTGGGAAATGTGAAAACTGACTTTATAAAAAGAGCAACTTTATTGAGATATAATTCATATATTGTAAAATTCACCTTTAAGTTAGTGGATTTTAGTACATTCACAGGGAGTGCTTAGCTGTCACCAGCACCTAACTTTAGAACATTTGGAGTTAAACTTGACTCCTCTCTTTTTCTCATCTCCCTAATAGTTTCCTCAGTAAATCTACTCAGTTTTGTCCAGAATCTGACCTCTACTCACCACCAAGGTCTGATCAGTCTTTTTACTTAGAGTTTTGCAGTGGCAAAAACTGATTTCTCTGCTTTCGTTTTTGCCTCTCCCACCCCTGATTCTATTCTCACCACGGCAGCCAGAGTCATCCTGTTCAAAGTAAGTCCAATCGTGTCACTTCTCTGCTCAAATCCTCTAGTGGCTTCTAGTGGCTTCTAGTGGCTTCCCTTCTCCGTAAAAGTAGCCCCAGTCACCTACAAACTGCTCCCTGACCTGATCCCCTGCTTGCTCTCAGACCTCATCTCCTGTCCCCCGCCCCTCATTCTTAGCTGTAGCCACACTGGCCACCTCGCCGCTCCTTGAAAACACAAAGGTCTGCTTGGGGCTTTTGTGCTTGCTCCTCCTCCACGTTACCTACAAAGCTGGTGTTTCACCTTCCAGTTCATGCTCAGAAGTCAGTTCCCCTCAGTGCTCAGTGACACCCACCCCAACCACCCTGTTCAAGGTTGCAGCACGTTCCCCTGCCACCTTCTCCTTTTCTGCTTGGTCTCTCTCCGCGGCACTTACATCATCTGAAATCATGTACATTTTACTAATGTACAGAATGAGGCAAAACTAGACGACAGTTGTGAGTATGCAAAACACAAAGTTTCTTCTTGTATTAGTATTTATTAGTTATCATACTACTTTCCATATGAGGAACTGTGTGCCTGCTTTTGCCCCACCCGGTACTTGGCTGTCTCCCCCTCCCTAGAAAGTGCCCTCCCTGAAGGACAGGCTTTTTATGTTACTAGTTTCCACTGTCTCCCCACGCCCAAAATTGTCTGGCACTTACTGGACCTTCAGGTACTAATGGTTGAATGGATGAATGTAGCAGGTATTTTACTAGGTCCTTAAGTTCCCATAACAGTCTTACAGGAGTAGCCCTGCTTGTTAGTGAGACCTGCATGGGTCTGGCTGTAGCTAATTCTGTTATGCCTGACTTCTGCACCACGCTGCCTTCTCAGCAGGCAGACTAGAGCCCTTGCTGTGGTCTGAGGGAGCTTTATGGAGCACTGCTCGGTCCACTCTCATACAGGGACTAGAAAGAGACCCTGTGGGCCAGCACCTTGTCCCTATTTCTAGATGCTGCTACCAGAGGCTGAAGCAGCCATGTATCTGTCTTGCAGTTAATGAAAAGGAAAGATACCCTTTTTAAAAATCTGATAAAGGATTTCAATTTTTTATATTACTAATATAATATACACTATAATATTATTATTTCTATTATTAAGGATGATTGTATTACTAAGGGTCCAGTCTTTTAACCTATGATTTCTAAAAACTGAATTATTTATGTTTTGTATGTATACAACATTTGGGACTACTGTAGGATAAATTACACATAGAAAACTATCGCGTACTTCATTGCTTCAAAAAATTGGCAGCTACTCTGATACATAAAAATATATGCATTTTAATGCTCCATAGTGTCATTTTGTTGACAGGGTGAACAAAGAAGTATCATAATTACTAAGAACAGTAGGTTCAGTAGCTACTAAGTTCAGTAGCTTAATGAAAGAGTGGTGTTTCATTATTGCTACTTAATTTTTCTTACAGGACAAAGTTCTAAAAACATCAGTTCATCTCCAAGCATTGAGAGTCTGCCTGCAGGCAGAGAAACCACTGGCTCCCCGCCGCTGTCTGCTGCTAAAAAGGATTCCTTCTTCAGCACCATCTCGCGCTCCCGCTCACACAGCAGAACCGTGGGCAGGAAAGAATCGGTAAGTCTTGAGCAACGGTTTTCTCGTTGTCCCCCATTTTCCTCTAGAGTAATGCATTCGTTAAACCTTCTTATGAAGCTCTGAAAATTTTTACAGACTGAAATGAATTACTCATCAGAAATAACTTGGGTGTTTTAAGGCTGCGTATATATCACACTGGGGTGGAGGGGGAATGTAGCATCAATTTAAAATACATTAAATCCCAAATCTCAGTCCTTTTTCCCCCTAAAAATGCCTTTTTATCAAAGCCTGTGTTTTTTTCCTAAAATGTAGCAAATAGCATTATACCAAATAGGTAAAGACAATAAAACAAACCAAGGTGTTTTTTGTTTCAAGTATTTCTTGAAATTTAAAGTAATTATTTAACCACTTGTTTTTAAAAGTTATACAAATTAAATTTGAACTATGGTATATTGGTAGTTGTTCTCTAAAAGTCTTTGTAGACGTTACTCAAAATAATCTATCTAAAGCAAATCTGCTTTATAAAAAACTGGTTGCATCTGAAATTTTTTAAGCCAAATCACAATAAATAAAACATTTAGCCACACTTTATAGCTGGTGTAACACAATGTTCTACTATGAAGAATTCATCTGTGCAGCCCTGGCTGGTGTGGCTCAGTAGATTGGGCGCGGGCCTGTGAAGCAAAGGGTTGCTGGTTTGATTCCCAGTCAGGGCACATGCCTGGGTTGCAGGCCAGGTCCCCCGTGGGGGACGCAAGAGAGGCAGCCACATACTGATGTTTCTTTCCCACTCTTTCTCCTTCCCTTCCTCTCTCTCTCTAAAAATAAATAAAATAAAATAAAGAATTCATCTGTCCATTGGAAGAAGGCAGAAATTTAAGGTCTTACAAGAAAGGACCTAGCTGTTGCTGACATAGTCCTAAATTAGGGGGAAAAATTTGAACTTTTGAGGGACAATCATTTATGCTACTTAGAATAGGTAACAACACGGTATCTCATGGCACTGGGTCAGACGCTCAGCTTCATGGTGCTTGAGCCACTTCATCTGCCAAGCATACAGCATACTTTGCTCTCTGAAGGGAAGGGTTCACTACCTCCTCTCTTGGGGTCCTTTTCAGCGGGTAGGAACCGGGATCCTCTGCTTTGTGGAAGAGCAGAATGGAACTTTCATTTTGAGATGGCAGTTTAATGCAGGCAGTCAGCTCTGCTCCCTCTCAAATTCCACTCCAGGGATAGTTCATGTGGTTAAAGATAAACCCTTGAGGAATAAGAAAACAGAAGAGAAGACAACAACAAATAACTTTTGTTGCTCAGAAAGCAGATGTTAAGTGCTAACTAACTAACATTCTAAGAAAGCTGAATGCCAAGGCAGTAGTAGGTAAAAACCAAGAGGCATCTTGATTTGCATTTAAAATCTGGAAGCTCTGGAACTGGAAATGGAGCAAAGGTGGAACTGAAGGCATGAGGATTGGTCAGAAGTCTCTTCAAAAAAGTAGTTAGATTCCCTTCCCCACCCTGGCAGAAGACTGGAGCTTTCATTCTTTGGACTGAGCACGATCGGGCACATGCCAGCGTGGCACCACCGTGCTGGAAAAGGAGCAGCGAGCGGGGTTAACTACTGGATTGGAGGGCGAAGGCCTTACCCCACTTGCCCCCCAGAATCCCACTCTGTTAGTCCCTCCAGGCAGGAGGAGTTTTCTCTAAGCAGAAGTTACAAATGAAAAAACATGCAAACATTCTGAACTTAGTGGCTTTTCAGAGAAACAGCCAGTTTACCTTCAGTGAATCACAGCCCAGACCTTTCACTTAACTTTTAGTTTACACTGTTTTATGTGAGCAAGACAGCCAGGGGTCACCAGATACTGGCCGAGAGCATGGGATAGTGACAGACAAAAACAAATAAAAAAAGAAGTATCATTTATAGCTACGTTTCACTGTCTTCATGTGAGTACCTGGTACATAGTAATTAAGCAAAAATAACTCAAATTAAGCTCTTGACATGTTATCTACCTTTGATTAGAAAATAGTAAATAATGATATTAACATAAAATACCTCACTTTAAAACTACCATCCTTTGAAATTCATTTTTCAGTGGCTCTTTAGGTAAAAACAAAATAATAAAAATGCTATTAAACAAAAATGCCACCAGGAGGAAACAAGTCAATGCAGGAGTAGGATGCTTCAGAAAAAGTGTTCATTCATAAAACAGCCACAACAAAGATTATTAGAAATTAAAATACAGTATCTACAAGGTAAAAATGCAACAGAAGAGTTGGAAGATAAAAATTGAGTTAAATCTCCCCAGAAAAATAGAACGTAGGCAGAAATGGAAGGTAAGAAAAAATATATAAAGAACCAACCCCAGAAACTCAAAATCTAAAAAACAGGAATTCCAGAAAGACAGAAACAGATAAAATGAAGGAAGCAGTCAGAAATACAATTCACTAATGAAAGACCTGAAAAAGTCCATGGAATGTCCCGCAGTAGTAAATATAAGCCACACACAGACCCATCACTGAAAAAGGTCAGAACTCTGGAAACAATGTCCTGCAAACTTAGAGAACTGAATAAAAAGAAAGATTTCCAACAAAGGATGGAGAATTAGCAAAACCACTCATTTCCCGCAGCCACACCAGAAACAAGGCCGTGGAAGAATGTCTTCAGGGTTCTGAGAGAAAGTTCCTCCCCCCCTGCACTCAACACTTAACCAAACCGATTAAACGTGAGGATAGAGTAAAGCCACTTTCAGACACCTCAGAACCCACTGGAGGATTTGGGCTGCATAAGTGAGGGCATGCTCTGAGGAGGGGGTGCCCGAGAACAAGTGAACAGATTATCCAGAGCCAGACGAAAATATTCCCCAGATGGGACTGCAGGGAGGTCCCCCAACCACTCGGGGAGCACAGCTACTTAGCAGGTCCAGAGAGCAGCTGCCAACCCACATTGAGGCAAGTTAGAAGGTTCCAGAAAGTTTTCTCCAAAAAGATGAAATTGTAAGAATAGCTAATATATTTGAAGAAATTGAGAAATATATAAAACTACAGGTGAAATTGGGTTTAAGGTCATGATAACTTTAGAGAAAATAAGCCAGTAAAACACGGGACAATCAGTAACCCCAAAGAAAAATAAAATAGCTACAGGAAAAGGAAGAAAGGTTATGGCAGACCTTGTAAGGGAGCCAAGGCAAGGCTGTGGTTCATGGGCACAGCATAATGTCAGCCTATGACTGTTAATCTAATCCAAGTCGTGATAAAATTTGAGCAGACGGAGTGTAGAGATGGTGTGTTTGCGGGCACAGGGAAGGACACAGGTGGCCCGCAGTCATTAGAGCAAAATCCTCATCTTCCGTAGTGTAAAGTTAGTGTCTGAGGGGAGACCCCAAAAAACAATTTATTTATTAAAATTGTGTACTTATTCTTACATGTTGAAACTTCAGTCACCTTCGAAGTGCTCTCCACTTGATGCAATAACAGCTACAGAGACCTTTTTTCCATGGCTCAAAACAGTTGTGCAACTTGTCCATTTTGATCCTTTTTAGTGCTTCTGCCATTTTTTGTTTCATCTCTTCCACATCGGCAAAATGTTTCCCTTTGAGGACTTTCTCATCTGGGGAAACAAAAAGTTGCTTTGGTTGGATAAGGAGGGTGGGGCGTGGGGGTCATGCTGTTTTGGGTTAAAAACTGCTGGACACTCAGCGCTATGTGGGCAGGTGCACTCATAAATCACCCATCATGAAATGGGCAAAAATGTTCAAGGACTCTTCAAAACAAAAATTCACTGAAGCTGAGTGCAGCCTCTCACACCACCACCAGCTGGTGCACTGATACAGATCAGTTCCTAGAACATTCACCGTGGGCAGAGCCTGTACTGTGAGGGGCCCGCCTTCTAAGGATTATCTGGGTTTTGGGGGTCCTCCCTTGTAAATACTTTAGAACAGCGATTCTCAACCTTTTTTATCTCATTGCACATATAAACTAGCTACTAAAGTTCCACAGCACACACAAAAAAAATACTGTTTTTTACCAATCTGACCAAAAGGAGGTATAATTTTGATTGATTTACAAAAAAATTACTCTTTTTTGCTCCAAAGTGATTTTTTAAAAAATCAGGTCCTTATTTATATACAAGGATTTCTGGTACCAAGAATTAACCCATGAGATGCAACTTTATTATGTGACCTATATATTTGTGGTTTAAGGCTGAGCATTCACAGCAGACACTATTGTTGCGTTGGCTGTTGTCAGCTCTTTATTTGGCAGTCTGAAGGAGAAGAGGGCCGTGCCCCTGACCAGATAGTCAGGTACTGCATGTTTTAAAGATTCTGGTGGCACACCAGTTGAAAATCACTGCTGCAGAAAAATCAAGAAGTAACCGTATAAGCTTGAGATACAGAGATGAAAAAATGGGTAAAAGAATTGAAAGTGGGTACTTCTGGAGTGCAGGAAGTGGGAGGGGGCTGTGTGAACTGTTTCATAACAAGCCTTGTGGGGCCGCTTGACTCTTCAAAGTGTTACATGTAAAACTTAGTTTAAAAATAAGAACTTCAAATCACAACAAAAATAGAATGTATTGACTTAGTAAGTCAGGAGATGCCTGCCTGTACAAAGAGCATGTCTGTGAAGAATCAGAATGAGGGGTAACAAATGGGAAAGGCATATGGAGAGATGTTTCATTTGCATCATCGTATTCTGGTGGCATATGGATTAGTCTACAATAACAATTAATTACTTTTCTTTACAATGATGCTGTGACTTACCACTGAGAAGTGGGGCAAAAATAGACGTAAGAGTGAGTCTCACCCTCCACATGGACCTGCTGTGAACCAACAAACAGAATGCCAAATCGCTATTCAAAATTTAATTATTTCCTAGCTTGTGGGAAGTGTGCAGGCAGAAATTTTCAAGAGAAAGCTGTGTTTTTCCAAGTAATGGGCCAGCTTATTATTTTATGAAATGGCGGATTGTAGTCAGTGCTCTTCACCTAATAATTCCAGTTTTCCCTCCTTCTAGACACTGATAGAATTGTACCTCCTCGTCCCCTGTGAGCTGTCAGAGCCACGTGACTAGTTCTGTCCAGTGAGTTTGAGTGGGAGTCCTAAGTTCCTATCGTTACCGCAAGCCCCTCCCCGGCACTCTTTTTCCCTCTGGCACAATGAGCGGAGTCCACCTGCCAACCCATCATAGACATGAAGTATGAGTGAGATAAAAAACCTTTAATTTAAGGTGAAATTATTGCTTATCACAGCATAACAGTTCACAGTTGGAACACCTTCAGGCTCATAATTGGGAATCATTCACCCATGGGAACCACATCCCGATCCTACCCCCACACCCTCAAGTGGTCCCGGTACCACCAGAGCCTGTGACCTGGCACATGTCATCTCCAATCCTACTTTGCTTGCGTTGCCAGCCCAGTACAGCGTGACACTGGGGTATTCCATGTCCTCAGAAATGTTCAAGGTAGTTTTTCATTAACATCATCAGTATCAGTTCTCACACAGCACATGGCCAAAATTGAAGTAAAGACACCTCTTTCTCTGGGTTCCTATGCCTTAAATTATATGACACCTTGCAGATTTCAAGCCTCAGATGATATTTTAAAGTAGCTCAGGGTCAAGATATTGTTTATGTCAGTTAACAAAAGGATGAAATAGCAGTTGAAAGAGACATTAAAACAAAAATAATCAACTAGTAGTTCTCAACCTAAGTGTAGCTAAATCTGCTTATGTTTCTAATCTAATGATTAAGAAATGATTTTCAACATCAGCATAGTCATGACATACTCTGGACAAGTGTCATATACTTATATCAAGTCTCAGAACTTCCTTCCTTTCAGTATTGCCTCTTCATGTGTCAAATAAAGCCTTTCTGTAACCCACAGGCTGTCTTTAGGTGAAATCGTACACATCTATTCCTGTTGATGCCTCTGATTTGGCCATATAATAGAAGAGTGTACAATTCAGCTAAGTTTTTAAAGCGATAACTAATTAAGTCTTGTGGCGTATGTTTATAAAAGACATCATTATGCTTCTTTTCTGAAATGTGAGCAAACCAGCAGGAAGTTTTTAAAATGACCTTACTCTGTGGTCGGTACTCATGTTGACTTGAGAATTGGTGTTTGCTCAGGAAGAGAGTTCTCCCCCTGCTTTGTGTCAAAAAAAAAAAAAGCCTGTAGGGTTCACCTAATTCAAACCCAGATTTTAACCAAGCTCTGAATTTTGTAGTCTTGAAGACAAAATTCAAAATTTTTATAATTTTTATTTTCCATGCTTTATTTCATATAATGTAAATGGCAGTCAATACTTAGTTTTCTAGAAATCTATTTTAGCTGGTCATTCATATGACTGTTAAGTAATTTTTTTGCTTATTTCAGTACTGTTAAATGTTCTGCCAACTCAATTCTTGCCCAATCATTTTCCAAATCACTTTCTTTGCTGAGGTTAAATAAGAGGAAAAAAATACTGAATAATAAGAAAAATCTCTAAAATCAATTTGTGCAAGTGGTAAGTTCTAATGTTTAAGCACATCAGCCAGTTAAAAGATTTTTTAATGTTCCTTATTAACTGCAAGACATTTCGCTGTGCTTTGTGATAATTACACACCAATCTCTAAAGCTCTAAACATATCTATTCAGAATCCCCTCTAAGCCCCGGGAAATCAAAACTGTCTGAGCTGGAAATCCAAACAAAACAGGATGTGTAATGAGGTAAAAACCACCTGCTGCTGCACATCGCCGCTGGAGGTGCTCACCCCGTGACCCCCGCATACACTGCCCTCACTCATCATTGCCATTTGGTAGTTTGAATGCATACCATGGCCGTACTAACAGAATTTGTTTTTATAATAGTCATCAGTCTATTCTTTATCATGACAAGATAACAAAAAGTGTCAGATGAATGAGAACAAATTTGAAAGTGGACTCATACTTGCTTGTGGAAGTACAGACAACCTGCACATTGCCTGATCTACTGGAGGTCATATTCTAGAAACTAGAATTTAAGACATAGCTGTGTAAGAACTACAAGAGAGCCCTGGCTGGTGTAGCTCAGTGTATTGAGTGGATTGGCTCAGTGGCTGTGAGCCAAAGGGTTGCCAGTTCGATTCCCAGTCATGACACATGCCTGGGTTGCAGGCCAGGTCCCCAGTGGGGGCCACGTGACAGGCACCCACACATTGTTGTTTCTCTCCCTCTCTCCCTCCCTTTCCCTCTCTCTAAAAACAAATTTAAAAATTTTTTTAAAGAACTATGAGAGAGCAGTCCCAATGAGGGTACTTACAGTGAAACTGGAGGAGGGGGAAACACATGAACAGTTACGTAATAATGAAATAAAAATACAACTCATCACCATGAGAGGTGGTGTACGGTTAAATGCCGTACAAACAGTAAAGATCATAAAGCGTGTGGATGCAGGAGACAGACCACCACAGGCTGTGTTGGTCCAGATAAGCTTCACGTGAGAGGTCAGACTTGAACCACAAACATATTTCTTTTCTCACCCAATGCAACCACTGTTCTCCCTTACGAATATCCAGCAGCTTCCTAGGACTGAGGAGTGGTGGTGGGTGTTGAGTAGGCAGTCAGCAGTGTCTGCTGTAGGTCTTTTGCTCCGCATCCTCTGGCAGAGTGTAAAGTAGTTGGGATTATCTCAAGTTGCCTTTGGAAAAAATAAGAAATTATTATCTCAAATAAGGAAATTTGTTGCCTGTTATTCCAAATAACAAAAGTCCCGAGATAGGCAGGTCTAGAGTTGGATAATTCATCTGTTCATTAACACCGTCTTTCTGTTCTACCATCATTAGTGTTTTGGCTTTGTTCTCAACTCACTCCCATTGGTTCTCAGGAGGGCTGCCACAGAGCTGGGTATCTGTCCTGTCATCCTTCCTGTCACCCTCCTCACACGTACACATCTGCTAGAGAAGCCCAGCAGGCTTTCCCTCCTATTCCATTGGCCAGCGTTAAACCCCATGCCCTTCCCATACCGATCTCTGGTACGAGCAAAGGTTCAGAGAAATCCGTGACAGTACGAAAAGGGGGTGGAGACGTGTGACTGACACATGATAACATACTTCCTGACAATACATGGTATGTGGGAAGTATTGATCAGAATGGATATCTTCACAGGGTTCTGTATGGATTGAAACCTGCCATCTAGAGTTTATCTAATTGTAGGATTTTTTCAATTCATAAATTGAAATCTTTTATTGTTTAATCAATAATATTAATGATAACTGCATTCAAATACATTGCTGTTTAAAATAACCATTTCTGTTTAACGAGAGTGCATTAAAATGAATTTAGACATCTACAATTTTTCTAACTCTAAGTCTCACGATAGGAATTTTAATCTAAGCCTGAATTGAATTCTTGTGTTTGAGATATGACATTTAGGTAGTCACTCAGTGTTATGTGAACTTTGTTCACAGTCTTTGCAGTGCGTCAGTTCAGGGTCCAGGAAGGTGGACCATTTGTATTTATACCAATAGCAGTATTCCTCCCTGCTATCTCCACCTTTTGCCTCACCCAGCTCACATGAATTCCATTGTAAAGAAATGGGAACATCTAAAGGAACGTCATAAAGAGCTGGTTTCAACAGTTTTGTACATGACATTTTAATTTAGCTTCTGTAAACTTGCTTTGTAACCAACTTTTTAGCATCTTTGTGCTTCAGTAAATTTATTTTCAACCAAAATTCTGAGGCGCCTACAAAAGCAGAACCACAGGAAACAGAGTTCTGAGCCGTGCCTGTAATGTCCTTTTTAGAATACTGAAGACGGTGCCTTTCGGGGGCAAATGAGACCCTCATCCCCTTCATGCTGGGCCTTTTTCCTCCATCATTTGTCCTCAGTGCCACCATCTTCATGAAATACAAAACGCCAGACTGCACCCATGCTGCACCCTGCCCAGGAGACATAGACAGTCGTTTGGGGAGTGCTCAAGTGAAGCAACTAGAAATATTTAGAACCCCTGGACAGAAATTCCCGTGGGTTTGAATCATGCCAAGTTCAATGTGTCATTGATAGCATTTGCTTTCTTCCAATGACCTTTCTTGAAATTTGACATTTATTTAGTCTTGCAATGTCACATTGCCTTGAAGACAGTGCCTCAAAGTGTACGTGCGCAGGGCAGGGAAGAAAATAAGGGCTTTGAACAACCCTGTGCACCTAGAGGTCAAGGCTAGAGGCCAAATGGTGGGGACTCTTAGAGAGTCCTCCGCTTTCCCCCTCGGCAGTATCACCACCTTCGACATAGCATCTTCCTGCTTTTAAATCTTCTGCCCTGTAGCTTCTCATCGCTTTTTCTTTGAAACACCTCTGTTAACATTTCCAGGAAGCTATACTTTTAATCCACTGAGTTCAAACTCGAGAAAGAGTGGCTTTGCTCCTGTCACCAGAAGTCTAAGCCTACTGAACAAAGAGGGAGATGTATATCACACAGGAGGCCTTGGCCATGCCTTGAAACCTTCAGACTAAGGAACTCCTTTTGGTTGTTCTTTATGCTAAAGCTGCTCTGCCCAGAGGGTCCGTCAGGGGCTTGGGCTGGAGAGCCTCCTCTCTTTCCTTGAAAGAAATTCCTGTATCAGGAATTCATACGCATGGAAATACTGTAGGCAGTGAGAACCAGGAACCCGAAGGCAGAGTTAGTTACAGGGCGTTCAGTAACGCAGCCCGTGCACTCCTCACGAGAGCCCTGCTGAAGGGGCAGGTGGTCACTAAGACCCAGCCTGCGCTCTGGGCGCCGGGCAGCATGCCCAGGTCCAGGGGCTGTGTTTGCCTAGAGATAGGACATTTTTTTCCTGTGCATGAAGGTAATATTCATTCCCCAAGTCCTGCACCCAAAGGCAGTGGATTTCCCTAATTAAATTAGAGCATGTTTTAGGTTAGTAAAAGTCCCAAGAGGGACTTGCAATTGTTGGATAATTTCAGGACTTTTCTATTTTGTGGCAGTGATGATAACATAGAAAACGTGTACATGAAAACTTCTTAAAATACGTGAAAAAAACAACCCAAACTCTTCACAGCCCTGACACTGCAGTATGGCTGAAGGATTTTACAAGCCTTTAGTACATGGATCTCCAGAAGAAAATATAATCAAATTCCCAAGCTTCTTTTTTGTTTAAGATGATGGCAAAGCCCTCCTTTCCCTCAGAATTGTTACCTGTTTAGTACCTTCTGTATGTAGCCTTATCATTTATTTCCCGTCAAAACATTCCCCAGAGTTACTTAGGTCAATAGACAGAACTCTTAACAGCAGCAGCTCAAAGCATGATGATGGTAGTAAGCCAAGAACAGATTGACTTTGTATTAAACCCTAGAAAGTTATGGGATGCATTTGAAAACAAGAGAGAAAAAATTTTTAAAAATCAACTGGAAGAGCAGTTATGGGGGCAGGTACTTCCTTTGTCCCTATTTCTACCATTTATTCATGGACTCTGACTCCTGCCTTTCTTGGCTGTATTTTCCAATTTTTTTTTCACTTTTGATGTTCTCATTGTTCTGCTTTAAAGTTCCCTATCTTTCTCATCTTGCTTCTTTGATGGCTCTTAGAAAAGACCTGATCTCACTGAATAAATCCATCCTAACTACACCAGTCCCTGCAATAGAAAGGGCCTTTTGGACTGGCATCTAAGGTCACTTTCAGGTGATTGCTGACCTTGATCACCACCACCTTTATTCTTGGAAACTATCCCAAAGGTAGGGCAAAATTGTAAACAAGACCGTGAAAGTTTGCAACATTCTCCTGAATTCTTCCATGTGACTGACCACCTAGGTCATATGGATCCTGTTAACAAGGAAATGTAAAGAACTTGCCAGGTACATCACTCCCCTGTCCCCCCCCACACACACACCTGTACTCCCACTACTACAGAGTCCAAAAACTGAAGGAGATTTAGAATAAACAGTGAGAAAGGTGCCAAATTGCTTACCTTCAGGATGTTCCCAGTCAAAATCCTAGGCAGTCTTTTGTTCGAAGCATATTTGTGTATTCCACATGCACCTCTTACTCGTTCATCATGATGTAGATATATGTTCCATAAAATATCAAAAACAATACTTTTGAAAATGAAGTTGGAGAAAATAAGAATGAAACCAGCAAGGTACCATTGTGTACTAATGCTAACGTTTATAGAAATCTTAAATTCATCTATAGACAAAGTGTAATATAAACCAGCTGAACAGTGGTGAAACTATTATCTACTTACTGCCAACGATCTATAAGGTGTTAGTTTTCTTCTCACTGTCTGTAGTCAGTCACCTACCCTCAATCTCCATGACCAAATTCCTTTGTTGAAGCCCTTCAGAACCAGGTTTGAAGGTTGGATAAGAACATGATCTTTTTCTCAAATAAACAAGCAGACCTAATTCTTTTGCCAGGAGTATAGGTTTAAATTTCTGAGATAAACTAATTAAATTTAAAGACTGTTTAAATGCCAGGCCTTGCATTTCATTCCAAAGAGAGTGTCATTTTTAGAACTTTTTTTATTTTAAGCTGAACAGAACAGATTCTGGCTGAAAGTGATTCAACTAGTAAGTTATTAACTCAGATAAGTCCAAAGGACTTCTCTTGCCTGGCTGCACCTTAAATTCACCTGGAGAACTTAGAAAATACCAGTCACAGAAGAACTGAATCAATCTCTGAGGTGGGGACTGGCCCTCAGTAATTGTTAAAAGCTTCTCCAGTTATTCAAATGTGTAGTCAAGGTTTAGAACCAACAATTTAGAAGCTTATTAGTGTCTTCAGAGAGCCGAGTTCTTTCCACTTCTCTGTCCTGCCTAGAGCAGGCTCTTCCCCAGGTTAGAAGTGAGGCAGCCACACCAGTTCTAGGCCCATTCACCACTCCCTGGAGGAGATGGACTAGGTCTTCCTGGGGCATTCTCTTAGGATAGAGTTGCCAGGTAAAATACAGGATGCCCAGTTAAATCTCATTATCGGCTAAATAATGTATAATATTTTAGTATGTCTCATATATGTCATGGGATATATTTATACCAAAAATATTTGTTGACTGAGATTCAAAAATAACTGTATATCCTGTGTTTGTATTTGTTAAATCCGGAAAATCTGTCTTAAGAACCTTTGTTCTTGGTTTTTTTCAAGAGCCACCCACCCGAGACTTCCACCTGGGTCTCATCAGCCCACATTCCCACAGGCATCGCTAGAGGTAACGGGGTTGCCATAAGTCCTTCACATCCAGCCCCAGACCCGCAGCTCTGGTGTGGGTCGGCTCCCCCGGGAGAGGGGGTGCACGGCTGCAGGACCCCATTAGGGCGGCAAGGAGATGGACGCTGGGAGCACCAGCAAGTCACAGTGTAGTCAGCTCTACTGAGCGCCGCCATGATCTCTAGATGAAAGCTTTTCTGCAAAAATGTACCTGTTGGAAAAATATATAAATTTGATTGTCATGAATCTATTCATCTTCAAATGAAGAGTCATGTCCAGGTCAGTTCTAAAGCTATTTATTTTAAAAAATCACCATGCTGTGCAAAGTCATGTGTTCAAAACAGGGCTCATGGGAAAGGTGGAGTGGGAAACAACAGTCAAAAACTTTATTACTGGCACGTGCAACAAAGTAGGAACCTAATAAGAGTGGAAGCATAGTTTTATACATGCTAAGTGAGTAAGAAAGAAGTAGATAGTATAATAGGTATGATCCTTCACCTTAAAAAAGACCTGCAGCCTGGTCAGGGAAGTGGACATCTTCAAATGAACGGTCATCTGCAGAACAGTCAGTTCTAAGGCAGTTCTAAGATGATTTTCATAAAAATCACCATGCTGTGCAGAGTCTGATGGACCTGGGTGCGGGCTGCAGCCCGTGCTGTGAACTGAGGTGGCTGGGAGGTACTGAGGTGGGTGCGTGTAAGTATTTGTGTACTGCTGGGAGCCTGGGTTCAGCCACACGCAGCTTTCTGTGGTCACCTGGTGTTTCTTGTGGGTGAGATATATAAGCAAACATGAAATTCATATTATACTCAATTGTTCCTTCATTTATCAGTCTCATCGGAACAAAATCACATTTTTAAAACAAGCATGATAACAGAACTGACTCTCTGGGTTCATATATAGCCTCTGAAGGCAATGGGTTGGGAGAATAAGGATAGAGAAACATACTTTCTGTATTATGTTCTTGTTCTCAGTTCAGTAACCGACAGTACTGTGTTAATTAGGAACTTTAAAATTCATGTTATTAATGGTTACATACATCAAAGTATTTCATAACACCAGCTGGCTCTATGAAAATCCAGTTGAGTGACTAAGTCCCGATCAGAATTCTGCAGGGACACTTTCCTAGGCTGCATCTCAAGATTTTAAGGTACAGCCTGCAGGGCCCTTGACGCTCTCACTTGGTCCAGCCTCATCATCAGTTCTCCCTTCAGTTCCTCCACAACCCTTCAGGAGAATGACAGCTGTTTCTGTTCTCAAACCAAGCATGCCTCCCCACACCTCTGTGTTGTTCCGCCCCACTGTCTCTTCTGACCAAAACTGTGCACGTGGCCACAAACTCATCGAGTTCCTTCCAGTCTCAGCCCACCCACCTTGTGTCCATGGAGCCTTCCCTGCCACTCTCTGGAAGCTTCAAGCTCTTCCATTAGGCAGCTATGGCCCTGGCTAAGCTGTGGGTTCCAGAGTGTCACCCCAAGCCTCCAGAAGCAGCATGTCGAGGGGAGGGATCCCTAGTCATCTATAAAGGGGTTCTGTGCTTGGACTGTCAGAGAACTACTTGTATTTGGTTAAAAGGCTCTTGCAGGCACTTGTCACTATGGCAGTCTCCCCTGCGGCAGAGGTGGTGTGTGGCGCTCATTAGGTGTTTAGGAATGAGAAGTGCTGTTGAGGGTTCTGTGCCATGCAGGGATGCAGGGCTTTATCCAGGTCCCTAGGGCCTGGAAGGTCATGTCGTTTCCCAGTGGCATTCACCACCCATGTACAAAAGCTATAGGAGTTGTCGATGTGTAGTGAGAAATTAGGTTTCTATAAATTAGTTTAAGGAGTGAATTAGCAGAAGTGCAACTAAACCAGGTAATTCAGAGAATTATTTTATTCTCACCTTTTCTTTTTCTTTCCAGAAGTCTCAAAATTGGTAGTGTTTGTGTTAAACAAAGCTGTTCCAACACTTGGTTTTCTTTATCAATTGTAATTTACCAAAGAATTTCTTAAAGTGTACTTGGTCCTCAGTGAAGCTTGGATTTGCTGTAGGGTACCACTTTTTGTTGGTCTCCAGTCGTACTTTGTAGGGATCATGTTGTCCAGAGAGTGGTAGTACAAGGGTGCACACTTTATCCTCACATGGAGCAATTAGCTTCCTCATAAGGAAAACAACCTTGGCCAACCCCTAGTATCTGGGTCAGCCATTGTGCCGATGCCTCCTTTTGGTGCCAGAAGCAGCATGGGAAGGCGCTCGGGTGGTTCAGCCCGGCCAGCAGCGCGATGAGAAACTCAGCTGGAGTCCTCCGTGCTGGCTGGGCGGTTCCATCAGATGGTCTGACCACATGTGTAAGTGGAAATGGAAAAACCCTTATTGAATAAAGTAGCATCTGTGCTAATTGGCCTGGTAGAGGAGAGAGCTATTCTCATTTACAAAAGATTGGTCAGGTTGCTTAATTATAAAAACACAACATGGAGATGATGGCCTAAAAATCCAAAAGATGGGACATTTCTCCACACAAATGCCATTGAATTAGCCTCCCAAACACAGTCCCTTCTAGGAGAGACTTTTCTCTCTGCTTAAAATGTTCAAGAGACAGGCATTATGCTTAACATTTTTATACCTTTTGAATTTGTAAAGGCTAGATAGTTTCTAAGACATATCATATGCATATAATTATTTTAAAAAGCAGTTATAGGATTTTTGCAAAAAATAAAGTTTGTAACTATGCAAATACAGTATTATTCTTCCTCAGGTTACCCGTATGTGAGATTCTCCAGTTAAAGATTTTATTTTCCACTCTATTTATTTTAGGATTGTAAGTTTACTCACCTTACTTTAGAATTTTGCAGCACACGATCCTATTTTTGGCACCATTCTTATCCATTCTGTTTATTGTTTTTGGTAAACTAAGTCTATAAAGCAAAAGTAAGATTAAAATAGCTCACAGTGTTGAAATGGCAATAAGCATAAAAGCATGTTTCTAAAGGCCAAAAGTATTTACAAATATTATTCATTATATTATTTTAAAAATATCTTCAGGAAATGAGAGATAAATTTAAATACCATGGATTATGGAAATATTCTATCATTTTCTTTTTATCACATTGATATTTGAAAAGCATCTTTTATTCCCTGATACTTACAGTCTTTATCAAAATTATAGAAGAGAGCATGAATAATCCAACAAAATTAATTTATGTTTGGATTTAAAATAAGTGCTTGTGTTTACAGTAGAATAAATTGGTACCTAATAGTCTAAGAATTAATTCTAAATAGATACTGAAGCCACTCTGTAAAGAACTGATTGAGGGAGATGGAAAAGCTGTCTTGGAAGCCGGTCATCCACTCATTTCTTCCCTGCATCCTACTCCACGTTGAGACCTATCTTCTGAACTGTTACCAAATAAGCACGTGACCAGATAGCCATCGGTCAACTCTGTCTTACCAAAGGGAAATATTAAAGTGCTTCCCAGCCTTCCAGAGGGGTTGGAAGCTGTATTCTTAAGTAAATCGGAGGGCGTGAGATGGCTCATCTAAACCGGTGCCATCCAAGACGTGGTCCGTAGCTCCAGCTGCAGTCATCCCCTGGGGCTTGTTCGACATGCAGAACCTCAAGCCCCCCCCCAGGCCTCCTGAAGTACATTGCATTTAACGCTGTTCCCCAAGTGATGCTTGTGCATATTAAAAACTGAGAAGAATTAGTCTAAGGAAGAGTAATTGAATACCAGTTGAGAAATGAGATTTTCTATAGATAAAGGCAATTTCAAATATATCTCAGTGTGGCCGCGGCCAATGTGGCTTCATTAGTCGGAGCATCATCCCGTGCACTGAAAGGCTACAAGTTCAGTTCCCCGTCAGGGCATCGACCTAGGTGTCAGGTTCAGTCCCCAGTGTGGGTGGGTGCAGGAAACAGCTGATCCATCTCTGTGTCTCCCCCTCCCCCCTTCCTTTCCTTCCCTGCCTCCCTTCCTCTTTCTCTGAAATCAGGGGATACACCCTTGGGCAAGGATCACTACTGTATTTTGCCGTGTATAATGTGTACCCACATTTTTGACACAAATTTTCAGGGGGAAAAGATTTCATTTTAATTATTTTATTCAATTATTTATTTATATTTAGATACTTGTTTCTTGCATTATAAACAAATTTTAGCATTTATTTTTGAACATAGGGATATTGTTATTGGTTTGTAGAGTTAAATGTTTAACACATAAGCATAAATAAAAGAATATAAAACATTTATATAGATACAGAATTAGTACTACCCATGTATAGTGCACATTGTTATTTCTCCCTCAAAAATGTGGACAAAAAAGTGCACATGATACACAGCAAAACACATATATGCATATTTTATACAAATATACATATACAAGAAGCCTACTTGAGTGTGCTTGGTAGGGTAATAATATGGGGGTAATAATTTATAGCTTTAAGTTGAACACTTCACCTAAAATGTTATATGGTGTGCTGGAGTGTGCTGTTATTATGTTACAGAATCACAAGCTTATGCCTTTATAATAAAAAGGAGGCGTTATTCGTACCAGACCCTGTGTGTTCCCAGCGCAAACATGGTCTCTGCTTTCCACGCGTGTCCTCTGTTCTCAGCAGGCCTCGTGCATTAGCACCTTCCGTCCTCACAGGACTCGCTGAGGTCTGCTGTGAGGTGCTTCACTACCTCCCATTTTATAGATA